GAGGCCTGCGCTATGGACTGGTGTTTCTGAAATATCAGGATTGTGGGGCACCACCACCACCACTGACCTCTACCAGGAATGTCAAGGCAGGGCCCTACCTACTCTTTGGGTCACAGAAAGTATCCTTGATTCTTCTCTAAATCTGCTCTCCTGATGTCCCTCCTGCAGAGGTGGGCTTCTCTTCCTAAATAATAATTCCTTTCCTTCCTACCTACATGGAGCACCCCAGCAGCTTCCAGTTAGGCATCCTCCTGCTTACCTCTCAATGCTTTCTGCTGCACTCCTTCCTCACTGTCAAGATCCTGGGGCTGCTCTTACCAGCACTCAGAACTCCCAACAATAAGCACCAGGCCTGCCCCAGCCTCTTCCACTTCTGCTCTACTCCTCCCAAAGAGTCTTCTGCTTATGCTGGAGCTTAGTCACCAATGTCCCTTTGTTTGCCACCTCCTACAGGTAACCTTTTCTATTCAAGTCTATGAGTCTGATAGTGTGTATGGACAGAGCCCAAAGGAAATAAACATACCAGGCAGCTTGTTGGAGTTACTTCTATAAGGGGACAGGAGACTGCAAAAGTGCCCAAGAAAGGAACTAAGAACCACAGGACTTGCTTCCTGATGAGGAAATGCTTCTCTCTACACCTTGCTGAGCTCAGAGTGGGAGGTACTTAATTTGCACCCTGTATCCCCTCAACCACCAGGCAGGTTTCTCTGGCAGAGCCTTGCTTACTTAAGAGCCTTTAGGGGAGGAAATGCCCATCACTCAGTACAAGATAGATGGCTGGAAGAAAGGGCAGAGCCTAGCCACCTGACCTGAGCCCCACAACTCAAGTTCCAGATTGCCCACGCCCCATGGCTCTATGCCAAGCCTGTGCTGCCATGTGCCTGCAAACAAGGCCTCATCTTGGGGGGCATTTCCTATTCTAGCTCCTTTTCCCTAGGCAATCTACATTTCCATATGGATAAGGAACAGGCTTTATGTCTCTGGTGCATTTTCTCCAGACGTGCTTACGGGTGAGTAGTGAGAAGCATGACAAAAAGATCAGTCTCCAGCATAGAGAGTTTGATCTAGTAATGAGGCCACCTATCCCAGAAAACAACCAGAGAAATCCCTCCAAATCCAGAAAGCCCCACAGAGTGGATGGAATGTGTTTGTAGGATCAGTAAAGTTCTTCGTATCAGACAAGTATCACCAAGGCTCACCAGGAATTTGACTCTGGAACTGGTAACTGATGCTTACAGCATCAGGTAAAGGCAGGTGAGGCCAAAGCCTAGGCAGTTCCCCCCTACACGCACACACGCATGCACGCACAAACGCACAAACGCACTGGGAGCCCCAGACTCATATCTCTTTACTGCAGCTGAGCAGGAGTTAGAATCTTAGGATAAAATCTTTTGGCTCCAGCAGGAGTAGGAAGCCTGAGCCATGCCCTACCCCATTCATTTGTCATTCCCACTCTCAGACAATCAATAGTTAGTTAGCTAGACTATGCAAGCTCCAATTAGATAAACTGCCTAATCAACAATTGACAGAATCAGGAATTCTTGGATAAACCTACAGCTCTTAGGAAACTTCCCTCCCCTTCTACTTCCCTCCCTTAGCTAAGTTTGGTACCCCTCTGTCGGGTGGACCCTAAACAGCCTGGTACCATGAAGAGTGCCAGGGGGGTACAGCTCTCAGAACACAGCTACCCTTTGGGTGTTCAAGCATTCACAAATCTATTTTAAAATTCTGGTTTCAACTACAACCTCATATGGTTCTCCAAAGCCTCCTATCCAGACAAATGAACCTCCCAATGCCCCTACAAGATCCTCTGTCTTACCTCAGGTATAGAGGAACCTACCCTTCAAGACATTACCCCCAACAAGCCTACTTCCTGCACACTCCCCACTCCCTATACTGGTGATGTTTGGTGTGGTTTGGTTGGGTTGGGATTGGGGTGGGGTGGGGTAAGATGAGGCTGGGTTTTGTTTTGTTTTGAGACATAGTCTTATTAAATCACTAAATTGCCCATTCTGGGCTTGAACTTGCCATCTACCTCCCTCAGCCTCCCAAACTACTGGGATTATAGGCAGGCACCACAACACCCAGCTACTTTCCCATCCATACTTTTGTGTATGCCATTTCCTTTTCCCCAGTCTCACTCCTCTTGGCCATCGTCCAAAACCCATGTCCCACCTTCTCCACAGCTATTCATGACCACCCAGCCCATTTTTACAACACCTGTCTAAATACTTGGTCCTCAAACCATGGCCTGCAGGCCAGTAGCACCAACATTATCTGGGTGCTTGACAAAAATGTAGGCTCTCAGGCCCCACCAGGACCTACTCAGTCAAAACCTGTGTTTTAACAAGATCCCAAGGGTTTGCACAGACATTAAAGTGAGAAACACTGGCTTCTACTTCTTCCCTGCAGAGTCCTGGTTTCTCTACTTTTCTACATGGAGGTTAAGGAGGGCACAAATGGAATAGAAGAGAGAACCGTCCCTTCCAGTTACTCACTTCACAGCCAGGTAGCCTCCTCGGAAGTAGAGGCAGCACCAACTTCAAGTCCCTGCTGGCGGTGCTTATAGCTCTGCCCTGGGACGCTTGGCAAGGTTATAGTCATTAGTTTATACCTAAGGATTGTGCCACCCTGATGGCCAAGCCCTGTTTGAGAACCAAGTAAACATTAGGGAATTACCTCAGTACTACAGAGGAAGCCACCGTGAGTATCAAGCTGTTCATGTCCATGTTGTTTCCTATGCCACTACCCATGCCTCTTGCCATCCCCCTGTATAAACATCAAAAATCTACACTTGCCCTGAGAAACCAAACCTAAAGCTTTAACTGAGCCTTGAATCAAATCTAATTAGAACAAAGTGATCCCAAGTTGGGTACTTTTAGCTTATAATCAAGAATCGGGAGACAATCATTTCACACGCCATCCTCTAGAATTCAGTACCTGTATGGTCCCATTTACTGCCCAAATCAGTATGCACGTGAAAGCCAAATTTTTTTTTTTTTAGACCAGATTTCACTATGTAGCTCAGGCTGGCCTCAAACTCATGGTGATCCTCCTACCTTAGCCTTCTGAGTACTGGGATTTCAGGTGTGCACCAGCCACCACACCAAATTTTCTATAGAATCCCTAGTCTAAAATCTGAAAGTGACAGCAGGTCAGGCCTCAGCCTTCCATGAGGTTGACCACTTCACTCCAGAGCCCACAGGTCACAGTTGCTGGTATAAACAGTCACCAATGCCTCAATGCCACCTACCCTCTTCTAAAAGTGGTATGCACAGACAACCTCTCCTGTACCTGCTACAGAGCTGGCCTGAAGAAAAAAGCTTTCCTCTCTGACTTGCACCAGCTGTGGGATGTGTGATCTGGGGATCCTCTCTCCCAAAAAAGGGAAGTTCAACCCACAGGCACATCTGGAGGCTGACAGGGAAGGTGATGCACCATAGGACCTCAATGTCTAAAGGCAGTGCTGTGAGGCTACTGGGTGACTCCTGCAAGAACACTACTCTGGGCCAGCTGGTGAAGTGAGAGAGGGCCAGGCCCAAACCCCTGGAAGGAAAGATAGGCAGAAGGGAGTTGCTCCCAGAGCACCTTTTCCTCTGTGTAGCTGTATAAGAAGCACAGACAAGCACAGTGGAATATTCTCCAGGGATCGTTCAGGGAAGAGGGCCTTCACTGCCTCAGCAGAGTCTTGTCATCTCGCAAAACTCAGCTCACCTCCCATGTGAAAAAGTCCCACATTCTTTTTTTCAGACAGCTTGTGGTTCTTGTTCTTTCTTGAGTCAACCTTGCTTCTCAAACAGTCAATGTCCTTCCTAAGGATGCACCAGCTCTGCCTTTTTTGCACCATCCTTTGACAACCAGCAGAGCTGACAGCTGACAGGTTTTGCAGGTATCAGAACGATCAATGGACTCAAAGACACAAAGTGATGGTTTGCCACATGAATCTGGCCCTTAGCTTAACATCTTCTGACATACAAGGTGCTGCTTAAATATGTGAAGTAGATTCTAACATGATAAGATCAGATATCTGGCTCCTCTTTTGAGTCAGATGGGGTCTGTGGCTACATAGGGTTCTCCCTGTGGCCTGGCAAAACTGGATAAAAGAAAAGCAACTGCTGCCTGAGATGAGGCATGTTCACTCTAGCTTACCCAGGAGCCCAGAGAGCAAGTGTTAGGAAGGCCGTACCTCATATCCCCTCAGCCCACCTCTGCAGCTGCCATGCTTGGTCACAGCTTTACACTGCTAAAGCCTGCATCTCTCTGCTTCTCTGCTTGAGGATTTTCTCCAGTACTAATTGCCACTCAGGACAGCCTGGAAACATCAGGATTTTCTTTTTCCATTATTGGGGATTGAACCCAGGGGCTTGTGCATGCTAGGCAAACACCCTACACTGAGCTACATTCCCCAACCCTCCACCAGAGATTTAATGGCCCCAAAGAAATTCTCAACCTATGAGGTACAGTTGGTGCATTAAAAGATAAACACAGTGCTCACTTCAGCAGCATATATACTAAAACTGGAACGATACAGAGAAGACTAGCATGGCCCCTGCACAGGGATGACACGCAAATTCGTGAAGCGTTCCATATTTAAAAAAAGAAAAAGACAAACAGAAAGCACACTTCCCCGGCCTTCAGTGATATAATTCTGAGACATGTGCTATGTGATTATTCACAAAATGCCCAAAGGCACTGAGTTCCAGTAGTCCACAAGAGCAGCCCACTTCTTCAAGTACCCATTCCTGGCTTTCTCCCTTTCCAGCCTCACTTTCCCCAATACTTTACTTGAGGTTACTGAAATCACTTCCCACATAAATTATCTGCTTCCAAGTCCTTGTCTCAGGGCTCATTCCCAAGGGAACCTAAACTCAAACACTTTGTAGTCTTTTTATATTACCTGCCTGGCTCTCAGAGCACATTGGTCTAACCAAGAGCTGCAAGTTATACATCCTACCAAGGACCTCCCCAATGTCCCTGGGACAGTGGCAAAATAGACTTACCTCCCCCAAGTAACTGTACTTGCCCCTGAGGATCTGCCGGTATAGCCGGGTGCGGTTGTCATCCTCAAAGGGCATGGTACCACTGAGTAAGATATAGGCAATGACGCCCAGAGCCCACATGTCCACAGAGTTGGTATAGGGTTTGCGGACCAGGACTTCAGGAGCAATGTACTCAGGTGTGCCACAGGTGGTCTTCATGAGGCAGTCATCACCCTTCTTGCGGGCACTGGCCAGGCCAAAGTCAGTGATGATGATCTTAGAGTCAGTGCCTGGGTGGTAATAGAGCAGATTCTCAGGCTTGAGGTCGCGGTGTGTGATGCCCAGTGCATGCAGATACCGGACGCCATCCAGCACCATCTGTAGCACCCTTGTAGCATCACGCTCAGTAAAGGAACCCTTAGCAATGATGCGGTCAAAGAGCTCACCACCAGTGGCTAGTTCCATCACCATGTACACACGCTCCTGTGTTTCAAACACTTCCACCAGCTGGATGATGTTGGCATGGCGCACCCGGCGCAGCACACGAAGCTCAGACTCACACACCTCTCGTCCCTCTCGGTATTTGGTCTCAATCATCTTGATGGCATATGGCTGACGGGTTGCCCGGTGTTCCACACGTACCACTCGGCTAAAGCTGCCTCGTCCAATCAAAGCCTTGATGTCATACTTAGCTGTCACACGTGGGTCAAACTTGGCCCTGTACTTTGCCACCCTGGCCCTTCGCGGTGGTTCTGAGGGAGGCTCTGTGTGGCCCGTAGTTGGGGCACCAGTGCCAGGGGGTGCATATTGACTGGCAGCTGGAAACCCAGCCTTGAGAGGGCCAACACTGTCCACCTCTGTGATGAAGTGCTTGTACACATCATTCTTGGTGCCACTGAAGGGTTCCACCTTCTTGACCAGATCCAGCTGGACATCCTTGGGCGGCTCAGGAAGGACCTTGCTTGTCCCACAGCCCATCACGGACATGGGGGCATCCTCTCCAGCGAAGCTGGCAGGACCTGCTCTGCAGGCAGTGCCCCGTCTACAACTATGCAGATAGAAGAGACAGAAAGTCAACATAACTGAGGAAACCTGAGGAGACACCTGCCACCCTCTCCCCCAGCCCCCTAAGTCTGATTAAGATTGAACATATGACTCTAATAATGGTTCCCTGGAAGGAAAGATGACTTTGGTTCCTAAGCACTGAGTTCAGGCTCAAATGGAGGGTGTAGGTGACAGGCTGGGTCTGAGCTCTATGGCCTTGACTTATGGATCCCTGGGTCTCAGTCTCACACTGCTTGTCTAAACTGACAAGGGGCAGGATTATGTACCAGGCTCAGCTGTCACTCCCACGTTCCTCTTCCCTCTGCCTGGGTTCCCTCTTCTAGCCAAAGTCTTACATTTCATAAATGCTAAAAATCACTCTTATTATTATTCTGACTCATCTTTTCTGAAATGGGAACGTGGGGTACTGGAGGACTCCTCCAACACCATCATGCACCAGGGCCAGAAAGCTGTTTCCCCAAGGCCTCCCTGATGGAGAACTTTCCCAGCCCTCTAGATCTCTTGCAGGGGTTGGTCCCCTGTGCAACAAACACCAAACCATTACCCTGGTCTCTGCCCTCACCTCACTCTTTCCTGGATGGTTTCCACTGCTTTGCTCATGCACAATCCTCCCTTAGTGTTGAACACCCTATTCCAGAGTCTCTCTATTCCCTAGCTCACCAATAGCTGGAATCCTACACAAGGCCCAGAGTGGGCTGACATTCATCCCAGTAAACTTAGGACCACAAGCCTCAGCACACTACCACTAGGTAGCTACAAAACTAGCCTAGATGTCATTAAGAGGCAGAAGAGGACTTGAGTTCAGAGAAGACACCAGTACTTCCAACTAGATGGGACTCAGTTTGGATCAGGATACTCTGCTTCCTTGAGATGAAGATCCAGGAACCTACCCCATTTATTTCTCAGATGAAGATGTTCGGCTATTGACACCTAGGGGCAGAGAAAGGGGCTGGATAAGGTGAGGCACTGAAGTTACTGCTTTCCAGAGGTCACTGCCTTTCTACCTAGACTGCCATCTCTAAGTCTATCTGAGAGCACCACAGGATGAAGAGACCTAAGAGTCTCCTATGAATTGTAACATACAAAACTGGGAATGAAATGATCAATTCAGATCAAACATTTATTAGGTGATAAGAATATAGGAGTAAGACATGGTCCAATGTAGGTTATATTTTAACACACACAAACACACACACACACACACACACACACACACACAGAGCTGGCGTGGTGGTACAGTACTGTAATCCCACCATTCTGGGAGGCTGAGGCATAGGACTACAAGTTCAAGCCCAGCATGGGAAACTCGGCAAGATTCTGTCTCATAGCCAGGTGTGGTGCATATCTGCAATCCCAGCACTAGGGAGTTTGAGACAGGAAGATCACTACCAGTTCAAGGCCAACCTGGTGTACTCAGTGAATTCAAGCCCAGCCTGAACTGCACAACGAGACCCTAACTCAAAAACAATAGCCAGGTGTGGTGGTACATGCCTGTAATCTCAGCACTTGAGAGGCTGAGGCAGGAGGATCGCTGTGAGTTCGAGGTCAGCCAGGGCTACAAAGCAAGCTCAAGGCAAGCCTGAACTGCGCAGCAAGACCCTGTCTCAAAAAAAAAAGACAAAAAAACAAAAACAAAGAAACAGCTGGGGATAGAGTTCAATGCAAAGGCCCTCAGTTCAGTCCCCACTACCATCAAACAAAAAAAAAGTCAATAAACTTACAGTCTAGGTGAAAGCATAAAAACATGCATGAAGCCCTAGATTCAATTCCTGACATCACCACCCCCTCCAAAGGAAAACAATAACAACAACAACGAAACAGATAGTAGGTCTTAAGTGCAAGAAACAAGAGTAGACCCATGTAGAATGACACTGGGAAACTTAGAGAAGGTTTCCAAAAAGATGTCATCCCCACACTGAATTTTGAAGCAAGAGTGAGTCAGGTAAGCAGAGGTGGGAGTGGTGATTCAGGTGAACAGAACAACATACTCTAAGGCCCAGCTCAGAATATGCATGGGAATGAACAGTTTGGTGGTACAAAGCCAGAGCTGGGGGCTGAAGTTTGTGGAAATTCAGCAGAAACTAGACTATAGAAAACAGTATAAAAGCCGGTGAAGACCACAGCCTTCTTGGCAAATGACTGAGAGCAATGGAAGGACTCACAAGGGAAGAGAGACAATCTAATCTGTTTAGAAAGAAGTGTGAGAATGGGCTAGAAGAGCGGTCAAAGTAGACTAAAACAGCCAGTGACAATGAGGGCCAATGCCCCAGAGAATGAGGTGGAATTCAGGCATGTCAACACAGCACCGACGGAGGTTAGAGGATCTGAAGGGGAAGAAATAAAAACAGCATTCCAGTTCCTCCCTCAGTGCCTGGGTAAAGGGTAATTATTATGCAGCAAGAAGCACAGTGTGAACAGCAGTGGGAAGAGTTCAGTTTTAGATACGCTGCAGTACATATGGCACATCCTGTGACACTTTTCTGTGTGTCACTAGATGTAGAATCTGACATTTGAAAAGAGCTGGTCAGCACTGGGGACTCTGTGACTGCCCAAAGTTAGTGCTTGGAGCTGAGGAGCAACAAGTACATCTCTTCACCCCCTTGTGAAATAGGAAGACAATCCTATCAAAGGCAGCGGAGAAGGCCCCACGCAGGTTTTACTGTTGCACTTTGGGATCATAGGGAACTCACAGATACCATCCGGTTACAGTGAGTCAAGGGCCTGAATTAAATAAAGGTGGTGTGGGACAGTCCTGACCAATAAGGCCAACTCTGTAAAAGAACAAACTCATCACTGAAACCTTGATTACAAATCAGCAATCACCGTGTCAATATACTTCTCAGCAGAAAAAAAAATGTGTATTTCTTCACACTAATGGGAACAATTCCTCCACCAACACAAGGTCTTCAGGATCTGCTACAGTTCTTACCTAAAGTGGACTCAGTTGGCAACTTAAGAAACAAAGTTTAAACAAAGGCTTTGGGTGGGTGGGGTCCGTTGTGAGACAGAGTCCTCCTATGCAGTTCAGGCTGGCCTTGAGCTCACTTTGTTGCCTAGGCTGGTCTCGAACTCGCAATGATCCTCCTGCCTCACCTCCCAAGTGCTGAGATTTAAACAAAGGCATTTAGAAAAGAGATTCCTGGGGCTGGTGATATAGCACAGTGCCACAGTGCCTGCCTGGCAAGTGCAAAGTACTGAGTTTGATTCCGGATACCAAAAAGAAAAAGAAAAGAGATTCCCTTTCACAGAGACCAAAGATTAGAACTACAGACTTTGGAATTCTGTAGCCTTATCTCTCCCTTCAGGAACACACAAGACCTCAACACAGTAAAGGGTGAAAGCTCAGGAAAAGGACTACCCTTCACCCAGTATCCTGAGGCAGAACACAGGTCCCTGGCCCCTGAACTCCAAAACCACTACATAAGCAACACTAACCACCACTGACAGGGAAGACAAACTGCATGGGTGATCCCAGTGAGGCAGCAGAACTCTAGACTCACAAATAAATATCTGTCTTCAAGCATATGAAGACAGATACTAATACATTGGCTCTTTTTGTTGAAATGTGCATACCCAGTCTGATCCTGATGAAAAAAACTAATGTTTATAAAAGAAAAGGCCTGATTGTTCAGTTTTAACAAGGCCTGTACAGGGACCTAAAGTTAGCAGTAAGAGAGCTACATTCATTCCAATTAAAAACACTTCACAGAGCTCAGAGGCATAAGCGCTTGCCTGGCAAGCCTGAAGTCATGAGTTCGATTCCCGGTACCAAAAGAAGAAAAAACACTTCACAGGCAAACTACTGCTGATACTCAAGTCATCCCAACTACAGACACTGAAAGCAGAGAAAAAGTGCTAGCTCTGAAGGGGGACAACAACAGCCTCCAGGTGATCACAGCTGTTCCACACTTCAATCACACCTGGTAACTTCTCTTCCAGTTCAGTGAAAATCTAGACATTGGATCAAGGGTAGTGGCTGGTACAATTCATGGAAAAGAGGGCAGAGCCTTTTCCTGCTCCTAACTCTCTTGTGTATGCCACAGCACAGTGACCAGGTGGACACTGGATGGCCAGGATTAGAGACCTCCTAGGAAGGTCACACTATCCCAGTAAAAAGTCACTGGGCATGGCAGTGTGCTCTCTAACACATCTTGCAGAAGTATGAGACTCTACAGTCTGCTCCATACCTTCAACGTAACAGCCTGACGTGAAGCACAACTCAGGAAAGCAAGCATACTGAACAGTGCTAATAGGGGTAAGCATTCAGCACTACTGTCCTCACTGACACTGTACACAAACAGCAGGCATAACGAGGTAGGGAGACTTGTTCAAAGCCACTAGATAGTGGTGGTGAAGAATGGACCCAAGACTCCTGGTTCCCCATCCAGGGCGCTTTTCACCACACAGGAAAAGACACCAGAAGTGCCTGGGGCCAATAAAGCCTCACTTTCCCTATACCACTGAGCTGGTACATCAACACGCCTCTATAAAGCACCTTTTCTGAAGAGCCTGTCTTCAAAAATCTCCACTCCAACTATGACCTAGGTCCTGCTGCTCACTGCCCTACTCTAGACTGCCTTTGATTGCTACAGCTGTCAGCCCCTTGAAATAGGGTCCCTTCTCAGGTTTCAAGAACTCCCTTGGTACCTAGCAAAGTGCTGAGCTCATGGTACATTTACTGTTTGTCAATAATAAATAAAATGTGGTCTGTTTTTGGGTTTCTGTTTACTATGAGGCAATAATCCCAGAATCTCAGAAACTTTTTAAGGGCCAAGATCAGTGATTAAACCAAAGCCATATTCTCTAGACACCCCCATAAATGTCCTCAAAGATGAAGGAAGCCTCTTTGGGTTTTATGGATTATCTCAACTCCAAAATGTATTTGTCCACAAGCTTCTAGACCTAACTCCAAACACCCAGGAGCAATTTCCTGTCCACAGAGGCCAGATTTGTAAATATCTCCCAGCAGTGAACTATGAGTAC